TAAAATAGTATTGGTAATTAATTACTTAGGCCCCTATGTTAGGAAAGCAGGATCCTCGTTGGATTACGTAGACACCTGACAACTAAAAGCTCCAAGCCTGAACCCTTTAAAAACCCTAATATAGGAGCCTGATTTTTTTTTTAAAAAAAACACTGTTTTTTCGGGTTCTTAGTATGAAATACGAATATAGTGGGGTTGGGGTCTTTATTAGGGTTCTTAAGATGAAGCCTAATATTGGGGTTATAGGGCCCGGGTTTCTTAATCAGGTTCCTACATTATACGCTTAAATTTTCACGCTGTATTGAAGCCTAAACCCTAAACCCTAAACGCCAAGGGCACCCGGGGGATGGCATGGCCGCCGTGCGGAGGTCACCCGTTGCCCTGGCATGTCAGAGGGAAGGGATGCACCAATCTAAGGTTGAAGCCATGGGCCCCTAGTATAGGCCCGTAACCCTGGGATCCTTATACACCTACTATGTACCCTATATGTACCCTTAAGGGTCCCCTAGAGCCTCAGGGTCCATATTAGGGGCTCATACTTCTAACCTTGGACCAACAGTAGGCGAAGGGGGTTGCAACTATGGGTCGCTGATGTAGGAGCCTTAATAGTTAGAAAAAGCTTTTGGGGGTTGTAGTATACTATATTTCTAATCAGGAAGCCTCACAATAGTAGAGGTAGAATCATTCAGGCCCCTATACTAATAACTTGAGAAGGGTTCCCTAAGCCCTAAACCCTAAGCCTCAAGGGGGTTCTACAGGTGTCAGAGGGGTTTCTTGCCTTCATGGAAGTGCGGGGCACCCTTCTCAGTAGAGGACCCTAAAGTGGAGCCCTAAGTCGGAGAACTACCCAAATAGAACCCCTACCCAGACCCCCGGGAGAATCCAAAAAGTAGATCCCTTAAGGGGGATTCCTAGAAAGAGCCTTTAGTAGTATAGGGTCCCAAATTAGGGGTTCTACTTTTTGGATCCTTCCGGGGGTCTGGGTCAGGGAACCCTAAAAGGGACCCTAATTTAGAGAACTACCCAACGCAAAACACACAGAGCAAGCATGCCCCGGGCGACGGGGCCGCGCCGGCGCCGGCGGGCGCGCCGCCGCCACCCCCACCGCGCTTACGCTGGAGGCAGCGCTCTAGCCTTGAATGAAGGGGTTTTGCGTTTTTTTCTTTTGGCTTAGGACTTCTGGGTTTGGGGGTTCTGGGTTTTAGTGGTTTTGGAGTTTAGGGGTTTTGAGGTTAAGGGTTTTTAGGGTTTTAGGGGTTTGGGGGGTTTGGGATTTTGCGGGTATAAGGGTTCTAGTCCATGGTCGGGATCGTATGAAAAATTTAAATTCTTGGGCTTCGGGGTCTTGCGCCTAAGGGGGTTAGTCCATGGTCGGGATAGCATTACACCTCCTTGGGCTCGAAGTACTCATAAGTCATAACAATACAACATGCTACCCAACTATAACAACCCAGACCCCCGGAAGGATCTAGAAAGTAGAACCCCTAATTTGGGACCCTATACTACTAAAGGCTCTTTCTAGGAACCCCCCATTAAGGGATCTACTTTTTGGATCGTCCCTAAACCCTAAAAACCCCAAACCCCTAAACCCAAAAACCACAAACAACCCCAAAACCAAAAAAAACACCAAAACCAACAAAAAAACCAAAACGACAAAAAACCCAAAACCCCCAAACCCCTAAATATCCCTAAAGCTTTAAGCCCGAAGCGGTGAGGGTGTAGGATTCTCAAGAGCATCTTCAGACTTCTACAGGGTTTAGGGGTGCGGGGCTTCGGGGCTGGGCTTCTCCTGTTGGATCTAAGGCTTTGGAGACGAAGAGCGCTAAGCCCTATACCCTAAACCCTAAGGGTTTAGGGGTTTAGGGTTTAGGGGTTTAGGGGTTTAGGGTTTAGGGTTAAACCCAAAACCCCAAAACCCTACACCTAAACCCTATAACCGAAACCCCTAGGACCTTAGGAACTTTGGGGTATGATGCCAGGGCCCAGGGTTTATCACTACCATGCCTGCGAAGTCCCTCCATCCTACCTGGAGGCTCATGGGACTTAATAAGTACAGTTATAAGTACCTTAGTTGGGGCTTATAAGTAAATATAAGTATAGCTACCTTATGTATAGCCAAAGAAACCTTTAAGTAGTAAGCCTTCCAAAGAACATCTGAAGCCGAAAGACCTATTTTTTCCTGATTATTTATGGTATCTTTGTAGAGTTCCTCAAAAAAGGGTGGGTCTTTAGGGCCACAGGGGACCTAGCTGTAGGCTTTCAGCAGTATTATGGTATCTTTGTATAGTTCCTTCCAAAAGGTAGGTCTTTAGGGCCACAGGTAGAGCCAGAAGACGCGGAGATGTGAAGCACCCCACAGAAAGTCCCCAAGAACAATGCAAGGTGGTAAGTGGGTAAAGCCACATGCCTGACATCGAGCTTAACCTTACTTCCCAATAAGCCAGGGACATGAAAGGTTAAACTTTCAGACTAGTACTAAATTATAAGACTCACCCTAAACCCTAAACCCTAAACCCTTATATTATAAGACCCCACAAAGTTTAAAGGTGGGGTATTGGGGAACTAAGTAGCCGGGTGCGCCCGATGTGCTATAATTCTACGGTTGAACCCATGGGCCCCTAGTATGGGCCCTTAACCCTGGGACCCTAATATACCTACTATATACCCTATAGTTACCCTGAAGGGACCCTAGAATCCGCTAAGTTCCCATGTTAGGGGCCCATGGGTTCAACCTTAGAAAAATGCCCCAGGAGCTGCTGGTAGGGTTTATGAGGTTAGCGGTTTAGGGTTTAGGGTTTCCCAGACCCCCGGGAGGATCCAAAAAGTAGATCCCTTAATGGGGGTTCCTAGAAAGAGCCTTTAGTAGTATAGGGTCCCAAATTAGGGGTTCTACTTTCTAGATCCATCTGGGGGTCTGGGTTTAGGGTTTATAGGATTTATGGATGGTAGGCTTAGGAGCAGGTTTGAGGCTTGAGGGGCAAGTTGGTTGCGGCGACCGGTGGCTCAACGGGATCTAGAAACTGCTGACTCCCAACACTTGGTGTTTAAGACCTGAGACCGGTTTAGGGTTTAGGGTTTAGGGTTTAAAGACCTGAGAGAAACTGACTTGAATACGTTCGATGTGTGTATTCGCATACACAGGTTCAACAGTCCTTTACATGTGTATATACATATATATATACACACACCCACATATTCACATTTAGAAGACAATGCGCACACAAAGGCGAATGCCATGGTCAGAGACCGGCAATACAAATCCGTAACTGTGAATTGGAGCTTTGAATCTTAGGCTTTGGAGTTGCAGGTCAACTACGACTACTCCAACAGAGTCTGCTCATGAACCATGTAGCCGTGATCCGTCACTAGACTTAAGCAGAACACTGAATGCACCGATCTGCAAAACGAGACCGATCTGATGATGATATGAGGGACTGAGCGCATGAGCCAAAAAACCGTTGTCCTTTAAGCAGATGGCACGCACTCCCTCCTGTCTCAGCGCCGAACGCCTCTTCCACAGATTTATCCTGCGACGATGTCATGTCAAGTCTATGGTTTGGAAGTGCAAACGCCCCAATAGTTGAATCCTAACCCATACCAGAATCCCACAAAACACCCTTCTCGGTTCCTTGTTAGGCTTTCCTTCAGGATTAAACCAACTAGCTTACTTATAAGTTCAGCCCATATGACCAAGTCCTCGAGTAGATGTTGCAACTGCCCTAAACCCAGGCCCAACCTCAAACCCAAGACCCCAAACCCTCAACCCTAAACATCCTTCCACTACAGAAATGAATTGCAACACCCTAGCGACTGGTGGGTAGGCGTTTTGACTTTGTTTCAACTTGTGCGCTGTCGGCTGCCCAAACCCACGGGAGGATCCAGAAAGCAGAACCCCCAATTTGGGGGTCTAGACTACCTTTGTACTTAGTACCTGGAGGTTCATGGGACGTAATAAGTACAGTTTTAAGTACCCTAATTGGGGCTATAAGTACGGTTACCTTATTTGTAGCCCTGATTACTAAGTCCCATGAACCTTTAAGTAGCAAGCCTTCCAAAGAACTCCTGGAAGCCAAAAAAACCTACTTTTTCCAGGGTTTACCCTATGTATAACCCTAATTACTAAGACCTTTATAGTTAGTAACCCCCTTTTGGATCCTTGCGGGGGTCGGGTGCACAAGACTTCATGCGTGGAATTTTAGGGCTTAGGCTTTAGGGTTAAGGGTTTACAGTATCCGTTGAAACATACAGCGCGCAATTTAGGGACGTGATACTTCGAACAGGGTTCCTTTAAAGAGTTATAGAAGGGTGGCAGGGTTCCTTAGATGCTTCTATAAAGGTCGTTTTTTGAGGGTTAGTATTTGGGAGAGTATGTCATTGTTGGCTATTTTTGACCCTGAAGCTATTGGTATCTGTAATCATGGCTCTATAAAGGGCGCTTAAAATGTTCCGTAAACCCAACATCCTCTGGCCCCCAAACCCAAGACCCTCTGTAATCAGGGTTTGCGAAGCCCGTTTCCTTTAAAGGATCTACACGACAGAAGAGCCAACACTTTACATTTTGTCTCGGGAGCTTTGTTTTGACGGATTCTCCCAGGTTCCACAAACCACTGCAGTGTCACTTTTTCTAGTCAGCGCGCGGCATTCTTATAATGAGGACTACGCAGCTGGGAACCTGATGAAGCAGCCACCCCTTAAACAGCAAATGCCGCACTTCGGAAAGGACCAAGCACGTGACCCACTCAGCAGCACTGCAAAGACTGCTTGAAGCATGAAGTGGCACAGCAACCCAAGCCCTAAACTGAAGTTCGAGACGCCAAATTCAACCAGGAATTGGCATACTCTAAATATCCTAAACATCCCTGAACCCAAGAATAGCTTTGACTTGCACCAAGATTATTAACCTGCATGGTGCCTCCGGGTTGAGATGCAAGGCTTCTTGGTAGCACGCCTGCACAGAAATGCCATGCATGTTGGGTCTACATCAAAAGACTTAGAGGTTCATTGGACATAATAAGTGCAGGTTTAAGTACCTTAACGAGGGTTATGAGTTGTTGTAAGTAGAGTCGCCGTATTTATATAACCCTAGGTACCAAGTACCAACAACCTTTAAGCAACCCTAAAACCCCTATTGTAAAACTCACGTAGATCCCTTTTATGGAGCCGTTTCCAGGAGACCTTTAGGAAACCCTAAACCCTAAACCCTAAACCCTAAATGAAAGGAGCCGTTTCCAGGAGTCCTTTAGGAAACCCTAGGACCCTTTTAGGAAACCCTAGGACCCTAGTTGCAAGGTCGCATGAACCTTTGAGTAAGGACCCTCCAAGGAGAGGGGCCTACAGTTCCAAGAGAAACGTCTGCCAAAGGGGCCACGCCTTAAGGAGGC